AAGCAAACAGAAACATCATAAAGTTTAACTCGCTGTACAACAAAAATGTAAAAACAATGGTAGAAAAAATATTCGTTAAACTCGTCAATAATAAACTTTCCTTTATCAAAGACTTGCCACAAAATATTCAGCAGAAATACATTAAAAATTAATTATAGTTGCAAAGGCATAGATAATAAAAAACACAACAAAAAAGTCCACAAATCACCCATACCAACCAATCCGACCTGCAACAGCAGAGCAAAACATAAATGCCCCTTAAACGGCAATTGCCTCTAAAGCAATATAATATAACAATCCACAGTTGAAACAGCCGATAACGAAGAAAAAAGATAGGAGTAACTGAAGAATTGTGGAAACACAGAAACGACGCACACAAATAATCTTTTAACAACAGTATATACATGGACAGAACAACACTCTATAAACATATATGGGTACTATATATATATATATATATGTGTGTGTGTGCGTGTGTGTGTGTGTGTGTGTGTGCGTGTGCGTGTGTGTGTAAAATGTGTATGTATATAAATATAAATATATATACGCAATTTTTGTATATATTATTTATATATTATATATGCGTGGTATTTATTGGAAAGCGCTCAATATCGGTGATAGAGCTAACATATTTAGCTGGATTGATGTGAGTTTGTGACCCTGGGTTTATGAGTTTGTCTGACGATCGAAAATAGCGTGAAACCCAGGGTCATAAACTCACATCAATCCAACTTGTGATTTTGTTATATAGCTTTGAATTCTGAACAGTTTCATCACTGATGAAAAGAATAATTGAAGAGACAGAGATATGGTCCGACTGAAGAATTTTGAGATTACAATCGGCAGATTATCTGAGAAATGAAGAAGTTTTATGAATAGGTACTGCAAAGAACCTTTTGCAAACAATCAAAAAGAGACAGCCCCAAATACTGGGATATACGTAGAGAGAAAGGAATGCATGGAAACACTCACAGAACGCACCGAAGGCAAGATAAGCGGGGGTGGGGAAATGAGCAAGAAAACTACTTGACAAATTAGAGCAAACATATGGATGACGTAACAAGTACCACGAAGACAAAAAGGAGTCATAAACGAAGTAAACATTATTTAGAGCAAAAAAGACGAGATGTGGAGAACCGTGACCACCCATATTGTGAAGGAGAAGATGGGACAAAGAGAGAGAGAGAGAAAGAGAAGGGGGCGGGAGGGAGATAGATTGTCTTTTATATCTTACATAAAATGTCTTCCGGTTCCCACTAGCACCCCAAACCAAAATGGAAGCAGAGGAAATGTAGCATTAGTGTACTGCCTCTCTACTGAAAGAAAACCATAAAAGCTTTTGTTTAAATCCTGGAAGTTATGTTTAAGAGTGTGTTTCCTTTCACGAACTCCAGTTTGACTTTTGGGTATGTGTTAGTCATGAAAACACTCTGATTCTTAAAACAAGTATTATCACTGTACCGATTTATTTAAACTGTTGTCTATATCTAAGTTGTTATAGTCACAACGTTTCGGCCAATGTGCACTCCAGCTTTCTTCAGGAGACTGTTGTATTACGGTAGCCTTTTCGGAATTTTGAATTAAAAAGAAAAATTAATACTAAATTTCGCCCAATACAAGGGCTGAGAGCCACACTAGGTAGAGAGTTATAATCAAAACGGTAATGATGATTGAGGTGCATGATATGGATAGAAGAGGGGGTGGTATGAAATGATGATTATGAGAGTAAGGAGGAAAAATGACAATTGACTCTTGGCTTGAAGAGGTCAAGATTGAAGCAGTCAGAAAAGCAATCACACAGGAGTCCGTTCTACAAAGTTGCAGTTCTTGGGGGAAAAACTTAGCGGAACTTTCTTCTTATATTCGGAACAGAGAAAATGATGTTGATTCGACTCTAAGGAAGTGGCAATGCTGTGATGGTCTGAACTGGTGAAACTAGAGAATGGATGTAATATGAACATTTCTCATCAATATTGCAGTAGAGAAGACGGACAAGATTTCTTTATCTGTTTCCTTCTCTCAATCTACAAGTGAGCGTGGAAAATAAATTCAGCCCGACCAACTTCCTAACATCAAGATTTCAATTCAAGACATCATAATACTGCTTTTGAGATGTACGCCTTTTGAGCATCATCGTGTGCACCCACACATACAGATATATAGGAATAGACTGAGATAGACTGATATATATGAAGAGACTGGGATAGATGAATATAGATATGGATAGATAGATAGATAGATAGATAGATAGATGAATAGATAGATAGATAGATAGATAGATAGGTGGATAGATAGATAGATAGATAGATAGATAGATATAGATAGATAGATAGATAGATAGATATGAATAGACTGAGATAGGTGGATGGGTAGATATGATATGATATAGACTGATAGATAGATAGATGGATGATATAGACTGGATAGATAGACAGACAGGCAGATAGATAGATAGATAGATAGATAGATAGATGATAGATGAGATAGATAGATAAGAATAGACTGAGATATAGAGATGATAGACGGATGGATGGATAGATAGATAGATAGATGGATAGATGGATGGATGATGGATAGATAGAATAGACTGAGATAGGTGGATGAGATGGATGATGGATGTATAGACTGGAGATAGATGGACAGACAGGGGATAGATAGATAGATAGATAGATAGATAGATAGATAGATAGATAGATAGATAGATAGATAGATGGATATGAACAGACTGAGATAGATAGAGATATGATAGACGGGGATAGATAGATAGATAGATAGATAGATAGATAGATAGATAGATAGATAGATAGATAGATAGATAGATGATAGATAGATGAATAGACTGAGATGGGTGGATGGATAGATGATAGATGATGATATAGACGGGGATAGATAGATAGATAGATAGATAGATAGATAGATAGATAGATAGATAGATAGATGATAGATAGATATGAATAGACTGAGACAGATAGATATGATAGATAGACTGATAGATAGATAGGATAGATAGATAGATAGATAGATAGATAGATAGATAGATAGATAGAGATATGAATATGAATAGACTGAGATAGATAGATAGGATAGGTGGATAGGTAGATATGTATAGACGGGGATAGATAGATATAGATAGATAGATAGATAGATAGATAGATAGATAGATAGATATGAATAGACTGAGATAGGTGGATAGGTAGATATGTATAGACGGGGATAGATAGATAGATAGATAGATAGATAGATAGATAGATAGATAGATAGATAGACTGAATAGACTGAGATAGGATGGATATGGATATATGTATAGACTGGATAGATAGATAGATAGATAGATAGATAGATAGATAGATAGATAGATGAATGAGAGATAGATAGAATAGATGAGATAGGTAGATATGTATAGACGGGGATAGATAGATAGATAGATAGATAGATAGATAGATAGATATGAACAGACTGAGACAGATAGATATGAAGAGACTGAGATAGATAGATAGATAGATAGATAGATAGATAGATAGACTATAAAATTGTTTTTTTATAAGGTTTGATGTTATTCTGTAATATTTTCTGATTTGCACCTGATTTTCTTCTTTGTTTCAGTTCTTGGTTTTGCTCCTGATATTTATGAACCGCTCGAGTCGGTGAAAGCTCAACTTGGCTGTTCAGTTTGTATCCAGTGTCGAACAAAAGGAAATCCCCCACCTAAAACTTCTTGGAAATTCAACGGTCAATCTCTGGATTCAAATCACCATGTTCGATTCTCTAACAGTGGGGATTTGTACATGATGGAGATTTCCCATTTGAAATCAGAAGATGTCGGTTGCTATGAATTCCGGGCAGTCAACCCTTTCGGCAATTCCATGTGCACAGGTCACATCTTACTTAAAGGTTTGTGCTTCATGTTCATCAAATAAATCATTTCAATAAATTAAATCATTCAAAAATAAATCATCTCTCCCATATCCTGATATGCTATCAATTTGCGCAGGCTCACCAGGTAGGTTGTGTGTTGATTTCTTCTGAATCTTTTACTTTCAATCTCTCCTGCGAGCATCGAATTTTCCAAGCCTACTTTCCTCATTATGTGTCACAGAAACCTCAACTGTATCTTCCTGATGTTAGGTGTACATGTTCTTTTTGTTGTCATTGTTTCTAGAAATTTGGCTTTGTTCACATGTTCTTAGAACCATTCTTTGGAACCACATTTCTGTCTCTTCTTCATCTGTGAGGAGATTTTCCAGAATTCACTGACATATAAGAGGACTGATATTACATAACAGTTCAGTACTCTTTTCTTTGTTTCTCTTGCTTCAAGTCTCTTTTTTCATTTGTGAGGAGAATTTCCAGAATTCACTGACATATAGGAGGACTGATATTACATAACAGTTCAGTACTCTTTTCTTTGTTTCTCTTGCTTCAAGTCTCTTTTTTTTTTATTTGTGAGGAGATTTTCCAGAATTCACTGACATATAGGAGGACTGATATTACATAACAGTTCAGTACTCTTTTCTTTGTTTCTCTTGCTTCAAGTCTCTTTTTCATTTGTGAGGAGATTTTCCAGAATTCACTGACATATAGGAGGACTGATATTACATAACAGTTCAGTACTCTTTTCTTTGTTTCTCTTGCTTCAAGTCTCTTTTTCATTTGTGAGGAGATTTTCCAGAATTCACTGACATATAGGAGGACTGATATTACATAACAGTTCAGTACACTTTTTTCTTTTTGTTTCTTAATTTTTCTTGCTTCAAGTCTCTTCTTCATTTGTGAGGAAATTTTCCATAATTCACTGACATATTAGGAGGACTGATTTATTACAAGAACAGTTCAGTACTCTTTTCTTTGTTTCTCTTTATAGACAAAAGTCTCTTTTTTCATTTTAGATTATGAAAATAAAGAAAAATTTCCATGAATTCACTGACATATAGGAGGACTGAATTATTACATAACAGTTCACTGATACCAATGACATTTTTTCTTTGATTTCTCTTGCTTAAAACTTCTTTTCCAATATTTGTTACATTGATGATTTTCCAGAATTCACTGACATATATATCCACTGATAATGAAATTTCACAGTTCAGTCTTCTCTTTTAATATCCAATTCTTTCAATGCTTCAATGTCTCTTTTTTCATTTGTGATCCAAGATTTTCAATGAAACTTCACTGATGATATCCACTGAGGACTGATTTTACATAAATTTCAGTACTCTTTCTTTGTTTCTCTTGCTTCAAGTCTCTTTTTCATTTGAGGAGATTTTCTTCAATGAAACTTCACTGACATATTTCAGGGAGGACTGATGTTACATAACAGTTCAGTACTCTTTTGTTTCTCTTGCTTCAAGTCTCTTTTTTCATTTGTGATATCCAATGATTTTCCAGAATTTCACTGACATATATGAGGACTTCAAATTATTGATGAACAGTTCAGTACTCTTTTCTTTGTTTCTCTTGTTCATTGATGTCTCTTTTTCATTTTCATGATGATATCCATTTCCATTGAATATCACTGACATATAGGAGGACTTTGTTCACATAACAGTTCAGAACTCTTTTATCTTTGTTTCTCTTGATTCCAGTCTCTTTTTCATTTGTGAGGAGATTTTCCAGAATTCACTGACATATCCAAGGAGGACTGATATTACATAACAGTTCAGTACTCTTTTCTTTGTTTCTCTTGCTTCAAGTCTCTTTTTCATTTGTGAGGAGATTTTCCAGAATTCACTGACATATAGGAGGACTGATATTACATAACAGTTCAATACTCTTTTCTTTGTTTCTCTTGATATCTTCTTCAAGTCTCTTTTTCATTTGTGAGGAGATTTTCCAGAATTCACTGACATATAGGAGGACTGATATTACATAACAGTTCAGTACTCTTTTCTTTGTTTCTCTTGCTTCAAGTCTCTTTTTCATTTGTGAGGAGATTTTCCAGAATTCACTGACATATAGGAGGACTGATATTACATAACAGTTCAGTACACTTTTCTTTGTTTCTCTTGCTTCAAGTCTCTTCTTCATTTGTGAGGAGATTTTCCAGAATTCACTGACATATAGGAGGACTGATATTACATAACAGTTCAGTACACTTTTCTTTGTTTCTAACAAAAATTTCATGTTTCTTAATATTTTGCTTAGGTTTTAGTCTTTTTGTTTGTTTCTAAAATTGAAAAAAATCTGAAAGAAAATTTTGTCAAAACTCTATAATACCCTCCCCTCTGCCGAAAAATCATTACCCCTTATACAACAAGAAAGTGTTGCATTTATGTGCACAAGAAAAGGCTAAAAAAATGGAAAAATAAATTTTTGAAGGGTAGATTTTTATGCTTATTTTCGCTCTAATTATAGACAAAAATTATGAAATTATATTTTAACTCATTTAGATTATGAAAATAAAGAAAACAAGGTCCTATGACAAATGCTAGGTCCCTAAATTGAATATTTTTCAGCAGTATGATACTCCATGAATTATCCACTGATCTTCAGTGAAACTTCACTGATGATATCCAATGACATTCAATGAAACTTTCATTGATGATATCCAATGACACTGAATAAAACTTTCATTGATGATATCCAATAACTTTCAATAAAACTTCATTGATGATATCCAATGATCTTCAATGAAACTTTCACTGATGATATCCACTGATCTTCAATGAAACTTCTTTGATAATATCCAATAACTTTCATGGAAACTTTCATTGATGATATCCACTGATCTTCAATGAAACTTCATTGATGATATCCAATGACTTTCAATGAAACTTTCACTGATGATATCCACTGATCTTCAATGAAACTTCACTGATGATTTTGGCATCTGTATCTAATAACCGGAACTTATGATAATAATAATTTTCACCTATTTCTGACATAAAAATGGGAAATATCTGATTTTTCATCAAAGGTTTGTGTGTATGGCACATGTGTGTATATTTATCATTGAGTAATGTATGCGTGTTTCTGAGTATAAGTGTAAGTGAAAGAGAAAGCAAATGTCTGTGTATGGGCTTGCATATATGAATTTGTGGCTGGGTGTATGTGTATTGTGAGCATGCTTGAGTGTTTGCATGTGTGAGCACATGTCTGTCCTTGTATTTGTGTGGTCTGTGCATGAGTGTGAGTCTGTGTACATGCATGTTTGTGTATATGAGTGTGCATACTTGAAGATGTGTGTGTGTGCATGTAAGAGTACTAGTGAGTTATTTCCTCTTGTGCATATATGTATGTGCATGCTTGTGTCAGCCTAATAATAACAATGTTCATCTCTTTCCGATATAAAAATGGGAAATACCTAATTTTTCTTAGAGGCATCAAAGGTTTGTGCATATGGCACATGTGTGTATGTTTATCATCGACTAACATATCTGTGTGCATGAATATAAGTGTAGGTGAAAGAGAAAGCAAATGTCTGTGTGTGGGTTTGCATGTATGTACTTGTGGCTGAGCGTGCGTATATTGAAAGCTTGCTTGAGTGTGTGCATGTGTGAGAACATATCTGTCCCTGTATTTGTGTGGCCTGTATGAGAGTATAAATCTGTGTACATGCATGCTTGTGTATTTGTGTCTTTGTGTGTGTGTAAGAGTACGAGTGAGCTATTTCTGCTTGTGCATATGTGGGCGAGTGCTTGTGCTTGCCTGAAGAGCAATGTTAATAGCAATCAATGAACCCTCATGCACCCAGAGCCCCACCCTTCAGAAACTTGGACCAGGCGTTAGATGTTTCAATGGGAATTGATATTTCCTCGACACAAACAAACCCTGTCTGACCATATAGCCTCCTTCTTTCTCATTAGATCATTAAATTCTGGATTATATTTTCATTTCCCGCCCCCTTATCAAAATTTGTATTTTGAGTTTAAATAACAAAGTTGTTTAATACTTGTGTAAATAAAAATGAGCAAATTGATGGTTTGATGAAGTTTATATCTGCCAGTGAAATATTAGAAATAAAAGAACTTTGGCACCAAAAAATAAAAAGACAATATATGACCCCCCCTTCTCTTTTACTCTTTGAACCTTGACAGCATTTCAAAGAACTTTTTCCATGATACTAAAAACAAATTACGCTAATTGCCAGCTCATCAAGTGCTTATTTTATGGAGTAGTTCAAATAACTTCTCAAGAAAACCAATTCTTTAACCATTGAGCTTAAACATTCAAAGATTGGCCTCTTCTCTGCTGCATATGATACATAGTTACAGACAGAATGAGGTAGATAGATAGATAGATAGATAGATAGATAGATAGATATAGATAGATTAATACAGACTGAGATAGATAGATAGATAGATAGATAGATAGATAGATAGATAGATAGATAGATAGATTAATACAGACTGAAATAGATTTATACAGACTGAGATAGATAGATAGATAGATAGATAGATAGATAGATAGATAGATAGATAGATAGATTAATACAGACTGAAATAGATTTATACAGACTGAGATAGATAGATAGATAGATAGATAGATAGATAGATAGATAGATAGATGGCAGGTGTAAGGATTTCATGTGGCACCACCAAATCATAATATAGGGCCCCACACTCTACTATGTCTCAATTTTCATGAGGTATTATTCATATAAAATACAAATTTTATTGTAACCTAATTATATACAATAATGGATCATGTACAATATAAGTGAACAATTCATCAAGAAAAATTAAAAAAAAATAAAATGTTTTATCTAAAAACAAATTAGAGACATGTCATTCTCTAGATCATTTCATCTTAAAATCAAATCTTGTTTTGTGGCAATTTTTAACATCAACTTGAGATTTTTCTTGTTAAAAGATTGCATAATTTTAATGCATTCCATATTATAGATAAAAAAGAGTGAATTTTGTTTATGTTTTTTTTAAAACTTATCATAAACAAAAGAAATTCATGGATTTGGATGAAAAAAGACCCCAGAATGATGTCAAAATCCACATTTTTTTTTTCATCCTTTAGAAGTCAGTTGTGCTTAGTTTAATTTGTAACATATATGAATGTAGGTAGGAAAAAAAGCAAATGATAAAATAGCAAGAGTCACAAAGAACTGCCTGGAGTCCCCAATCAGGCTTGGTCAACCCTCCCCACTGTGACAGGGGGTTCAGAGATAGTATACACCGATGCTGGATAGATAGATAGATAGATAGATGATAGGAGCAAACCTATGCAGGAGTAACACAGGTATGAAGATAGATAGATAGATAGATAGATAGATAGATAGATAGATAGATAGATGAAAAAGAGTTGAATATATATATATATATATATATATATATATATATATATATATAGATAGATAGATAGATAGATAGATAGATAGAAAAAAAAACTGAAGATATATATATATATATATATATATAGATAGATAGATAGATAGATAGATAGATAGATAGATAGATAGAAAAGAGTTGAAGATAGATAGATAAAGAGTTGAAGATAGATAGATAGACAGATAGACAGATAGATAGATATAGATAGATAGAAAAGAGTTATAGATAGATAGATAGATAGATAGATAGATAGATAGATAGATAGAAAAGAATTGAGGATAGATAGATAGATAGATAAAACCAACTCATTACCAAGTAAGAACACTCTAAGACTTATAAGACCTAAACAAACGCTTTAGTGATAATTGCATACATACATATATACATACATACATAGTGATTACCCCATCTTACCCAGATGTGAGCTGCCTCCTCACTCCTCACATCATTTGTGAGGGCTTCCCCCTCATTTTGGCATCCATGACCCCTAAGATGACCAGCATTCAATTTCCTACGTATCAGGTATATATAATAGATAAACTCTGTATCCTTGATTGGATCTGCATGATTTACAACTCTTTGGGGTTCTGCCATGTTTGTGATGTTATCTGTTATTGCAAACTGCACGGGGGTATTCTTGACAGGATGATGAAACAGGTTGGTGCATCTAGCATGCTTCTTGTTGTTATGTTGACCTTTTATATAATTTACGTAACCTGCTGTCGACAACAGTATGTGCTCACACACACCACATTTCTAAGACTGCACATTATTTGTCAAATCAGAGTGAGTTCTTCTTTGCTCTGAGCATGCCTGAGACATTCATCCTCAAAAGTGTTGCATCCTTTCTTTTTAAAGTGCCTTCACTTTGTATGATTTAAAGTCAGCTCTTTGCAATTCTGCACATCCATGTGCAATGCATTCAAGATTATGCTTCTAATTATCTCTAAACTTCTTCCTAGGATTGTGTTGTGGACGTTTTCCTGTCTTCAGTTCTCCGTAGAAAAATTGTTTAAGAAATGTGTTATCTCCCCTACCCCATTCTCACAACATATCCTGCCCATCGATTCTGGTTGAGGATTATTTTTGTTTCAATGTTGTATCATTCAAGATCTTTGAAGGACAACAGTATCTAGAATCAAAGAGTGACATTTGATGTTCCGTATTCATCTCAGATATTTTTGGTAGAATTGCTCAAGCCATTTTTTATGCTTTCCAGTATGTTGTTCATGATTCAGGAAAGTAAAGCAGGGATGTTAAAACGTTAAGATCGTATACATAGTTACTCTAGTCTTATTTAGCCTCTATCTGACCAAACTCTACTTTTCAATTTACTAAATGCAATACGTGCCTTCTGAATGCATGAAAAAAAATCTCAGCGTTTTTATATAGCACTTCCAACATATCACAAAGTGTCAACAACTTCCAGCCTGCTACTTTTTGCAAGTATTTGTTGGCTCTTTGTAAACCACACCAGGTGGAAGAGTGATATCACTTTTGTCTTCCATAGTTCAAAACAGGCAGCAGAGAAGCGATCCATTATGAGTTGGAAATCTTCATACATATACATGCAGGCATGCATTATGTCTTCCCCCTTGTTGGTGAGCATGACCATCACAGCATATCAGACTTAGTTATACTTTGAAAAGAAATGGCTCTTTAAGCTGGACAAACTTTTAAAACCTCTAGCAAACTTTCCTCTGGCAAACCTTTCTTGGTTGTAATTGCCTTTGTCAGCTACGACCAGCCCCTTAAAATATCAAGAAATTCCTATGCATGAAAGTTTTGACGTGAAGAACGATGTTACACTGGGGCAGTCCAAGTAAAAACAGCATGTGCCCAAAAAGAAGAAAAGGTCAGCCTAATCTGATGCTGTCAAGCCAAAGGTGTTTCATCAAATTTTCTTTCTTCTAGTTGGATATCTTAGCCCACCATCTGCTTGGACTCCAACCCATGTATTTCTAGATCCCCACAACAGTGCTAGATAACTGTTGATCCCAGGAAAGGATTCACCTACCCATTGAAACAGGTCTTGTTCTTAATCTTGCTGGATGTCTATCTGCCGTCTTCACCAGAAAAGTCTGCGAGGGAATTGATTTAGTTGCTGATAATCTGAGCATGTGATAGGCAGTACTGGTTTATATGCATTAGTGGCATTTCTAGCAGTTTGCCATGTGAACGGATTCTTAAAATTATAAAAGCTTAGCAAACCGGTTGTTGGATTATCCAAAAATGATCTTATATATTAATAGCCAATATATAATAGATAAAAATATAGTTAATACCATCGCTGTAAGTTTTGCAGAGGTTGAGGAAGGGTTTTTTGTGATGAACATAATCTATTCTGATAAAAGAAATTGCCTTGAAGTTAAAAATGTGGCAAATCTTCCTGTCATAAATTTAATAGGTCTTGCATTGGATCTTTATAGAACCGGTTCCTGGAAATTTGAGATGCTATTATTGTTTACATGATACCAGTAGCATGATCTGACTCATAATACATACATACAAACATACATACATACATACAAAATGAGATAGATAGATAGATAGATAGATAGATAGATAGATAGATAGATAGATAGAAACAGATTGAGACAGATAGATATGAAGAGATTGAGATAGATAGATTAATCGAGAGGTAGATAGATAGATATGAAGAGACTGAGATAGATAGATAGATAGATAGATAGATAGATAGATAGATAGTAGACTGATATAGATAGATATCAATAGACTGATATAGATAGATAAATAGATATGAAGCGACTGAGATAGAATCAGACTAAGATAAATAGGTAGATAGATATGTACAGACTGATATAGATAGATAGAAGGATTGAGATAGACAGAAGCAGACTGAGATAGATAGATATGAATGGATTGAGATAGATTGAAACAGACTTAGATAAAAGGACTGATATAGACAAATCAATAGATAGATAGATAGATATAAACAGATTGAGATAGATCGGTATGAAGAGACTGAGATAGATAGATAGATAGATATATAGATAGATAGATAGATAGATAATGAAAAGACTAAGATAGATAGATAATGAACAGACTGAGATAGATAGATAGATAGATAGATAGATAGATATAGATATAAACTGATTGAGACAGATAGATATGAAGAGACTGAGATAGATAGATAGATTAATAGAGGGGTAGATAGATAGATAACAATAGACTGAGATAGATAGATAGATAAAAAAAAGGCTGAAATAGACAGAAATATGTTGGAATGATATATTTTCTTTTAAATATGGTGCATGTGTACCAAGAACATTTTTGAACGATTGCTAATTGTGACTTAACTTGTCTTCTCATTTGTAAAACCTTCAGTTATCGGCTTTCCATCTCTGATAACCAAGCATTAAATGAAAGGTACAACTTGTAAAAATAGGTTCTACGTAAATCAATCTTTTAAATTTGATACTTCTACAAGATATCTGACATGTATATATTTTATAAATTTCAAACTGGATATTTATTAGCAAATTTTGAAAAAACCCCAGGTCCCAATGTTTAGAATAAAAATAGTGTATAATGGGGATTTTTAATTAGACATAAAACATAATTAATAACTTGAAATCTTTTCTGTTTGAATATCTGAGATACTGGGATGAGTAATGATCATTGTTTACACTATTTATATGCAGACTATTGTCATCATCTTCATTGTTGTTGCTATCAAAATGTTTCGGTTGTTGTGCCCTCCTGCCTTCATCAGGGATATATTGATCCAGGTCAGCTACAGTGTTTTTGTTCCACTGCTCATGTCTAGGGATATCCCATGTCTAGTTCTTATTTTTAGTACTGCTCAGTTATTGTTTCTTCTGTATCCTCTGAATCCAAGTACACACTGCCCAACACAGGGATTGAACTTGCAATTACTATGTCACCAAATTCATGAATCAGTGCTTTAATCCACTTGGGTATTGTCCTGTAGGAAAGTGGTGCAATGTAACAAGAACAGTACTGAAGGGCCGAAATGTTGTGATAAATATGGCAGCAAAGATGAGGACAATAGTCCGAATAATGTAAATAGTGTACTTATACCTCATCTCAGAAATATAGACAGATGACAACACAACTATTAAATTTAAACTCACTATTGTTCAGGGATCAGAGTCACTTTCAGTGGCAAGATAAACATTTACTGCCACAAATGAAGTCAGATACAGAGGAATAAATGTTAAATACAGGGTTCAGTTCAGAATTTCCTGCAGGTTATCTGAATCAATATAAATCTGATGAAGGTCGGATGGCACGATGGCCAAAATGATGTGATGAAAACAATAAAGATGAAGACAATAGTTTACATGTAAATACAGTAAATATTGCTAGCATGCAAGGGGTTACAAAGAATGAAGGTAAGAGAAAAAGGGGGGATGAGGAAAGGATAAAAAGAAGAAGGGAGATCAAGGCAACAGAAGATGACGATTGACATTACAGTTAAATTTTTGAAGATTATAGCTCTCAGTGAAGCAAGTAAGAGGAAGGTAGTTCCACTGGTGGGAAGTACGAGAGAAGAAGCTGTTGGAATAAAAGAGGCAGTTACATTTAACTATTTAAACAGTAAAAAGTGGTACCTACATGTCAACCTAGAAGCACACTTAAATTCATACAGTTGGGACACCATGGAAAATAGCTTGTCTAAGTAATTGCCATGAAAATATTTGTATAAAAGACAGAGAGAAGCCATATTGTGTCTGTAAGAAAGTGACTGGAGTCTAGGTGCCAAGTCAGGACCAATCACATTGCAGATCTGTCTTGGGATTTTGTTGAGAACCTCAAGATGACCATTAAGGGTTCCAGACTGTCTATGGCAACAGTATTCAATGCATGGATAAATAGTAGATTTGTAGATGTTTAGGATGGATTTAGAGAAGAAAAACCTTCTGACATGACAGTAGATGAAGCTATTGATTCAATGTAGTTGTTCCACCTCAGGTTAGTGAAAAACATGAGACCAAGAAGGCACAGTGAGGCACTCTCATGAAGATGAGCATCAAACATGCTAATAGAAGGCAGGGAGGTTTCTCTATGGTGGTTAAATGAGAGCAGTTTCATTTTGGAAACATTAAAATTTACTAGCCATTTCCTGTCCCATTCAAACACATTGGAGGTTCGAGACCACCATCCAGGTTAACTTTGTCAGCATTGCCGAATTTACTATTGAGACAGGAGTAAATGGTAGTGTCATCTGCATAGATGTCTACTTGAGAAGTGATGACATCAGGAAGATCATTGATGAATATCAGAATCATTGTAGGACCCAGGATAGAGTTTTGGGGAACACCAGTGTTCATATGAAAGAAACTGGAAGTGAGATTGTTCAGGATAACCTTCATTCACCGATTTGATAAGAATGATTGGATTAAGTCATATAACCATGCTGTAATACCGTAGCCCTAAAGCTTATGCAGAAGGCCAGCATGAAAATGCCTTATAGATATCTAGAGCCACAGTTTGAAGTTCACCGTTATTATCAAGAGCTTGGTATACATATACACTTATGGGTGTAAACACATGAATGGTAGACCAGGCAAGTGGAAACCATGTTGTTTGTCAGAGAAAAGACAATGGGAGGTAAGATGCTTAACCATTTCAGCATTGATTAAAGCCTCGAAGAATTTGCTGAAGAATGGTAGCAGACTGATAGGGTGGTTGTTAGAGGGGTCAGAAGGGTCTCTAGAGTTCTTAAAAACAGGGACTACTGAGGGGGACTTCCAACAGGTTGGAAAGCAAGAATCAGTGAGGCAATAGTTGTGTAGTTTGGAGAGAAGTGGAGCCAGCTCAGGGGCACATTTCTTTAGGACTACAGCTGTTATCCCATCACTACTGCTTGCTAATACTACTGACAGGGCTATGCATATCTCACTCAGGATAGCCTCAGTTCTAGTGGGGTGGGGAAATCAGGTGTGAGTACCACTGGATGAGTCGTTTGTTGAGTTGGATGAGAATTTCTAAGCAAAGCATTCAGCCTTATCAGCTGAGGATGTTAGGACTTTGAATTGATTGAATAGAGGAAGGATTGAGAATTTGCTGTAGTTCATCACACTCTTACAGAGCTGCCAATAATCTTTAGAACTTGCCAGATGCAATACATTGTGTCATTCTATCAGCAAACAATAACCCCAGAGGTGAGTTGCACTGATTACAAGCAGAGACAGAGAGACATCTGTTGCAATCAGACATGTCATTTCAAATACCACAGATGTTCAAATCCAAGCAGACCAACTCACTGAGATGAGATGACCAGCATTTAATTTCCTACTTATTATAGGTGGGAAAGTCTATAACTATAGAATAGGTGAGTTCCACTATAACAATGTTCCTTTGAGATTGATTGAATAGAGGAAGGATTGAGGTTTTGCTGTAGTTCATCACACTCTTACAGAGCTGCAATAATCTGTAGAACTTGCAGATGCAATACATTGTGTCATTCTATCAGCAGGATGATTTTGCTTCATTGAGGACACAGGTTGCACTGATTACAAAGCATGACAGAGTGACATCTGTTGCAATCAGACATGTCATGTTCAAATACCACAGATGTTCAAATAGAACCTGACTCGACCAACTCTGCTGGAGTGAGATGTGCTCATTACTCTTACACTGATTATAGGTGGGAGATTTTAACTATAGAATAGGCACATTTTAAGACTTTGAATTGATTGAATAAATCAGGATTGAGATTTGCTTTGTTCATCACACTCTTACAGATGCCAATAATCTTTAGAACATTCAGATGTCAAAATTGTGTCATTCTATCAGCAAACAATAACTTTGCTTTTTGAGGACAACAGTTGCACTGATTACAAGCAGAGAGAACGACATCTGTTGCAATCAGACATGTCATTTTCAAATCCATGTTCAAAATGAATGACTGAAGATTATACTCCTCGTTACTCTAAACTCCTTCTTATTATAGGTGGGGGAGTCTTTGAACTGTCTTAGGTGTGTTCCACGTATAACAATTGTTAAGACTTTGAATTGATTGAATAGAGGAAGGATTGAGAATTTGTTAGTTCATCACCTCTTACAGAGCTGCCAATAATCTTTTAGAACTTGCCAGATGCAATACATTGTGTCATTCTATCAACAAACAAATAACTTTGCTTCATTGAGGACACATTGCAAGATTACAAGCAGAGACAGACAGACATCTGTTGAATCAGACATGTCATGTTCAAATTTGATGTTCAAATACACTGACTGACCAACTCAGATATTTTTCTTACTACTCCTAATTATAGGTGGGAGAGTCTATTAACTATAGAATTGTGTTCCACTATAACAATGTTAAGACTTTGAATTGATTGAATAGAGAAGGATTGAGATTTGCTTAATCACACTCTTAAGATCTGCCAATAATCTTTAGAACTTGCCAGATGCAATATTTGTGTCATTCTATCAGAAACAATAACTTTACTTTTGAGGACACAGTTGCACTGATTAAAAAGAGACAGACAATCAGACATGTCATGTTCAAATACCACAGATGTTCAAATACCAACTCCAACTCTTTGAGTGACTCCCTTTACTCTTATAGCCTACTTATTATATGGGATCTATTAACTATAGAATAGTGTGTTCAACAACAATGTTAAGACTTTGAATTGATTGAATAGAGGAAGGATTGATTTGTTGTAGTTCATCACACTTTACAGAGCTGCCAATAATCTTTAGAACTAGATGCAATACATTTGGAAGAGCAAACAATAACTTTTTGCTTCATTGAGGACACAGTTGCAAATTACAAGCAGAGACAGAAGCGACATCTGTTGCAATCCATTCATGTTCAAATACCACAGATGTTCAAATACCACTGACTGACCAACTCATTACTCCTCGTTACTTTTACCCCTACTTATTATAGGTGAGTCTGACCATCAATAGGTGTGTTCCACTATAACAATGTTAAGACTTTGAATTGATTGAATAGAAAAAGAATGTAGTTCATCACACTCTTACAGAGCTGCCAAAATCTTTAGAACTTGCCAGATGCAAATTTTCCATTCTATCAGCAAACAATAACTTTGGTTTGGTTGAGGACACAGTTGCAATTTACAAGCAGAGACAGAGCGACATCTGTTGCAATCAGACATGTCAAAAATACCACAGATGTTCAAATACCACTGACTGAAACTTTGAGTGACTCCCTCGTTACTCTTACTACTCCCTACTTATTATAGGTGGGAGAGTCCAAC